TTTTCAGAAATCGAGATGTAAAATAGAGCTTTCATAATACAATGCAAACTATAGTCCCTTAGACCGCTCTCGTTTGAAAAAGAACTTATTTGATTTTGAATTGATTTCATTTATTATACCAGTGGCTTTTGCTATATTATTAGATTTTAAAAAAATCCTTAAAACTCAGAGGATTTATAATGCAGTCTTCTTTGAATGATAAATACTACTACGTGGAAAATATAGTAGCATGATACGACCTTATTTTTTTTTATTGTCATTTTTTGGGATATCATGCTTTGATTTAAATGAATCGAACAAGAAAATCCTTAAAACCAGGAAAAGAAAACACAATATTGATAATAAAAATGTACAGTCATTAATAAACTACTCATTATGAGTTCAAGATAGTTTGAAAAGAAAAGAAACGGTTTTTCAAAAAAAAAATTGATTTCAATTTTAGATGAACGACGATTAGTAGCTGGCAAAGTTTTGCATAGTGGTTGTATCATTTGTATTGAATGTCATAAATCGATTGGCGAAGGAGCTTTTGAACAGGTTTATTGAATTAAAACAAATCTATTTTGTTTACTTGATTTTTTATTTTTCTTAGCATGATGATGATATTTTTTGTATTAATTGTTATAATAATATCAATAAAATAAAATTAGAACCATCACCATCTTCAACAACAACAACAGATGATAATTCTCCTAAGAAAGATGAAGTTCTAATTAATAATGATTCTTTGACAAATTCAGCCATTCGTTATGGATCCATGAAGTAAATTTTATTTTGTTTTTTATGTCTTTATTCATTATATTTGAATTAGATCATTTATTGAACGAGTTCATTTATACAACGAATATAATCAAAAACAGACATCACACTTAAATATTGTTGAGGTAAATTATTATTAATCGAAATCGATTATTATGTAGTTGATTGCCCTTGTAGAAAGATAACAAAATACGTGTTTCCGGTATGCTTCGTATTTATTGGAATATCAAAACACCAATTAAACTTAAATCGGGTCAATCAATACCACTCGGTAATTATCGATCGCTTCTTTTATTTAAATTTACGTATAATTTATCGAATAGGTTTGTATCCTAAATCATTGGGTATTTATGAAATGAGTGATGAAAAAATAGTTAATGACAATGATAACGAGCAACAACAAACTAAAGTGAGTTTACAATTTCATAAATCTGTATCTCTTAAAGAATCAATCTATTGAATAATTCATAATCTAAAGAAATATAATTAATAAATCATATAAACAAGAACACTTCAAACAACAATTCATAAATAAGGATTGAATAAAACATTCTTTTCTTTTTCTATTGATTAAGATTTGTATGAATGTTTCTATTCAATCTTAAATTAATCATAGAATTACATTACTATCGTATATTATTTGTGTTGAGGTTATAAAATATTTTCTTCGACATTTTAGAAAACAATGCTACAAACATTTTGAATATTTCTGATAGTTCTATGTTCTTCCGAATTAAACTAGTGCGTTTTTTTTATTATATTCAAATTTTTTCGAATAAGAGTCATTCACAAAGGACAAAAAAATCATAATAAGTGTCCGTACTAAATATATGCGAGACACTTCCTCAAACTCCTCTCTTTCTAAACGTCTTTTATGGATCGTCTTATAATACAGTATCGATTATTTTAATTTCAAGAACTCACATAGATCTTAACTTAAAAAATTCTTTATATCTTAGAATCTTGATATAGTCTGTAAACGTTTATGTTATGATGATACTATTCTAACAAAATTATCTTTAACCGATGATAATGATCCAAATCAAATAGCAAATCTAAGACGTGTTCAAACTATTCGTGTATCATCCAATCAACGAAAAACTTTACGTGTAACATTACCATCATTTATTCAATCATCAAATGATGATGATGAAGTAAATTTTTCTTTTTTTTACTAAATTTTTTGATTATTTTTTTTTTTTTTTTTTTTTGAAGGCTCGTTCATTTATTCCAGCTAAAGACAGTATGACAACAGTATATATAGATAGTGAAACAACAGTTAATGAAACAATATCACTTTTATTTTCAAAACATTTTATTGAAGAATCAAATTCAAATTTATTTACATTATATAAAGTTGAACGACAAAATGGTAATTGTATTGAAATGAGTGTTGATGATTATCCACTTATATTACGTATATTAGCTGGTCCATTTGAAAATGATATTTTATTTTATTTAATGGAACATGGAAAATCTCAAACAGTTTCATTAGAAGTATCAAATTATCTCGTTTTACCTGAATCAATGTTACGAGCATTTATTGATAAATTTTCTTATGAAGAAATTGAACATATACATACAATCAAAAGAAAATATTTAGCATATAAACAATTATTATTAAGACAATTTGAAATTGCTATAAGTCAATCATGAAAAAAAAACAAAATTTTTTTTCCTTTTCTTTTTTTTTTTTTGTCTTAATAAATTAAATAGATATAATGCATGTCTCATTTTTAGATTCATTTTTTTTTCTGAATGGCAAATAAGCCAAATCAAAATGATGATCTACTTGATGGAAATCATCCTCGAATGAAGTATAGTAGATAATGATCGATTAAAAAAGAATGAAAATTTAAAATTTATTTTAGTATTTCCCAAGCAGAAAAACTTGGTTTTACAGATATTGATGAATATTTTATGGGACATAAACGACGTGGTACAGCTATTGTTATTAATAATAAAGATTTTCATCCAAATACAGGTTAGAATTTTATTTTTGAAAAAAAAAATGAATTCAGGAGTATAAATAAGGGGGTTTTCATTGTTCGTTAGTACTTTTATTAAACTCAACTCTCGCTGCGATTATTCTTTGTATGAAAAATTCTTCTAATGATAATTTATAAACATGCTGAGAGTATAGATCATGGACCATAACACCACTGAACACGGCCAGCTTTCGATAACTTTAATTGAAGAAAAAATATTCTGATACATAGAGGAAAATTAATTTTTTTACTTTTTTTTCGAAATCAAAATCTCACATAAAAATTTCTAGTAAAAAAACATGTATTTTTGGAAGTACGGTCAGTATTTCAATCTTTTTATTTGAATGAAAGAAACCGAAAACAACTAAGCATCTTAAACAGTGTCTAGTATCTGTGGCAAAGATTCCAACTCTATAGAACATATTGTGATTAAGAACGCCGGACAATTTTCAGCCTTTGTGTCGTAGATATATTCTAGAAAGAAGTTATTGTAAATTCCGAGCCTATGACAACTTTTGCTCTTCTCATCGAAATTTATCTACCCTAAAATTTTCAAATATTTTCAATGAGCAGTTTTTGAGAAATCTCGGTGAGAGTACAACCGAATTAAACTTGCATTTTTACCATCAGTAGATGATCGAGGAAAAAATTATAAAAGCAGATCTTAATAAACTATCTGCTTAACTTTGTCCAATCTAGCTGAAGTTTTGATCACGAATACTTAGAAGTATTCTCTAGAGATATAATCGACCATTTTTATTTTCAACTTTCCTATCCGAATTTATCGTGTCATGAATATCAGCACTTCCTTGGAAGAGAACGGATATCCTTAAATAAAGTTTCGCTTTCTTTTTATTCTCTCTAGGTTTAAATACACGTGATGGAACAAATCTTGATGCTAGTCGTTTAGAAGGAACTTTTCTTGGACTTGGTTTTGATACAGAAGTTTATCATAATCGAACAGCATTACAAATATTAACAATTGTTGAACAAGGTAAAAGATGTTTTTTCTTTAAAAATTATATTTTCTATATTTGAAGATTTTCTTTAGCCGCTAAACGAGATTATTCACAATGTGATTGTTTTATGTTTGTTTTGTTATCACATGGAGATGAACGTGATATTATCTATGGTTCTGATCAACCACTTAATATTAGTACTTTAACAGAACCATTTAAACGATCAACTAATAGTTTACTTGGAAAACCGAAAATTTTTATTTTTCAAGTAAATAATAAAGAAGAATATAGAATAGTTATTTTGTTTTGCTAATAATTTATTTTCATATTATAGGCATGTCGTGGTCAAAAAGTAATGACATCTCATCGAAAATTACCTATGAAAGATAATAATGAAGTCATTAATATTGCATCACATATACCTGCCGAAGCTGATTTTTTGTTGGTTTATTCAACAATACCTGGTAATATTTCTTGAGATTTATACAAATATTATTGAAAGACTATCGGTATTTATTCAACCGATTGATATAATTTAATATACAGTATATTCGAAATTTACTAGAACTAAGTTATAACTTACTTCCTATTGAATATCAAAATAATTATAAACCTCAAAAGATCCTGAAGCATGGACATATATGGTTATCTTGATATTTACTTGTTAAACATTTTGTATAATTAAACATCAAAAGAATCATGAGTGTTTGCAGTTTTTATAGGTACTTTAAACAGGATTCTCGATTTGTTTTGGAGGATGGAAATACATTCTCTCTCTCTTATTGATAATCTCGAGCCTAAAATAAATAACCCCCAAAGAAATCGTTTAAAAGTTATTATCTATAAAAAAATAATTTTTAATCTTGCATGAATATTCATATAAAGACTTCAATCAAACTAATCTTTGTATAAAGTTTTTAATAAACTCTTTTTTTAGGTTATTATGCTTGGCGAAATTCTCTCAAAGGTTCATGGTTTATTCAAGCTTTATGCGATATGTTACGTGATCATGCTCATGAATGGGATCTTTTAAGAATTTTAACTAAAGTTAATCGTCGTGTTGCAATGGATTATTATTCCAATTGTACTGATCCTTATATGAATCAACGTCAACAAATTCCTGTTTTTGTATCAACATTAACAAAAGATGTTAAACTATTTCCTAAAATAAAATAATGTTTTCTTCTTTTTTTTTTTTTTTCTATTATCATTTCTCTTATATCAGATAAATTTATTCGAATTCTGTTTTTTTTTGTTCTATTAATATATATATATATATATAAATAAAATTCATCTAAGTCATTTTTGGTAAACCGAATGTTGGTAAAATAAAAAAAATGAATATAAATACAACAATAATAATAATTAAGAAAAATGAACAACATAAACATTCACTAAGACATGCTTGTTGATACCATTGATATTGTTGGTAATCTTCAAATTTTAATGCTTCTTCACGTTCAACTAATTGTTTCATTAATATATTTGTACTTTCATCATTTTCATTATTATTTAAATATAAACCATGTGTTAATAATTTTACATGTGATAAACGAGCTGGTTGAGTTTCATATTTTTCATTTTTACGTAACCAATTTGATAGAAAATGTATTCCACCATGATATATTGAATGTATAATATGATCAAAAAATAATGATAAAATTTCAATTAAAAATATAATTGATAAATATCGTATGATTAAAGGTGTATATGATAATTTTTCAGCTGAAATTTTTTTATCAAGATGAATTATAAATAATAATGTAGATAAAATATGTAATAAACCAATAATTAAACGTTGATAAGATTTGATAGATGAAAAATAAAAAATAACTATAAATATAGAAAAAAATAATGTTGGTAAAATAGTTGTATATATATGAGATTCTCGACGACGTTGCATTAAAATATATATATTTAAATAATTTAAATTTTCCTTATCAATTTTTGATTCAACACCAACTGTTCGAACAAACCAACCACGTGAAAGTATAGGTTTCATTAATTGATTATATTCATAAAATATTAATGAATAATTTTCATTTGAATTTATATTTGTATTACCAAAAAATTGTGTCCATAAATTAAATGAACGTGATAAATATGAATTTATTTTTGTTATATTATTTTTTTCATGTTGTAATTTAAATGTTTTTTGTTTATTATTTAGTTTTATACGTATATATTGATGATCAAATGGATAATATGTTAAATCAATTAATGATACAATTGTAAATAAACCACGACGTATCCATATAATATAACCATCACGTGTTATTTTAGCTGATTCATGTTCAATATTAAATGATATAAATTCTTCATCTTTTAAATGAATATCAGGTAACCAAAGATTTTGTAAAATTGTTTTAGTTAAAATAATTTCATCAATATCATAATAACGATTATTTGTATCATTTGAATCCCAATGAAGAAATTCAAATTGATAATTTATTTCAATTGTTGCACGAAATATATATTCATTTGTTGAACCATCTATTTTAATTATATCATGTATTGGAAATTGAATTTTAAATGGTATTATTGATTGACTTTCATGTAATTGTCGAGCAGCTAATCGATATCTACGGCAAAAATTATAATATTCAAATTGTTTTTATCATTTTTGAATAACTCGTGAATGCAAGAAAAATACAAAATAAATGAAATGATTTGAAGTTCAGGTAAGTTTAAAGTCTTTTTAACAGTACGAAAGTCGTTCAAAAATTTTATACATTTCTCATATATATATCAATGCTTAATTAACTTCATCAATATTCGATAGAAATTCATCATCGAAAGCACAACAGTTTGATCTAATTTTTGGTTTTCTATCAATTTATATGGAGTGATCTAGAAAGTATTGTTATATCTGAACATCAATTCTTAATTGATCAGAGTTTATGAGAACTGTATAAAAAAGTACGCATAGACAACAATACTAATGCAGCAATGCTTCTTGTTGCTTTTTTGAATAAAATCAGTCTTGAAAATTTTTGAGCAATTCTTCGTATTTAAACTATTGATATTTTCCATCTGCATTTTAATTATTATTTTGTTACATTATTTATGACAGACATCAACTACAGAAGATATGATGGAATAGACAATTCTTGCTTTCTCATCTTTATTTTTCTATGTATGTTTCAATACTCAATACTAATTTTCAATGAATCACTCGAATAATATACTACGTAGTTAACTCTCATAATTTGTGTAAATAATTGAGAGATACTTCAGAATATTTGGTGCAATTTTGAAGTGAAAATAATATTTCTCAGGTGAATTTTGAATTTATTTGCAAGAAAACGTGAAACTTCAAAAATGACGCTCAATCGTCAAATAGCAGTATTTCAGAAACTACTAAGAACTAACACTTCAATTTCATGTTCTACTTAGGGCATACCAAATGTAGTGGTAAAAGCACTTCAACCTATATGTGTTGTTAGTAAAAAAAAAAAAAAAAAAAAAACAAGTGCTCTGAAATTTCATCCTTCTTCAGATAATATCATAATAGTCAAATTTCGATAAGAGTTGTTTTGTTATGATATGTGAGGATAATACTTTGAAGTATTTTGAATAATTTCCCATAGAATCAAAATAGAGAAATATGAATTTTATCATTAGAAAGAGGAGATAATGATGCATCGAATTGTATATTACATTTTTCCGCCTAGGATTTTACTTCATGAGGTTTTTGAAGTGAATTTTCAATAATTAGAAAATGCGTCCAATCTGCCAATGAAAGATGTACAAGAGAGTGGTGTAAAACGTATATGTTTAAATTTCATCATGATGAGTTACATAGGTATTCTACTCGTAATTTGAAGCTGTCTTTTCTGGCAATTTTTCTCTTTAAAAAAAAATCACTTCATTAACTTTTTCTCGAGGTAAAAAAAGAAAATTTTTCGACATTGTTTTAGAAAATTGATTAAAAAAGACTGTCAAAAGAGGTATAGTAGTCGCAAAAAGGTCTGGCTACCATGTAAAAAGTATCCAAACTTTATTTCTTTAGTCTTATAGTTTAACCACAAATAAAGTATTTTTAACTCTGATCGTAAGAAATAATCAAGACTTTATTGACCTTCATGCAGAGAAACTAGAAAAGCAACACACAAAATTATATGTCAAGTGGTTTTAGTTTGCTTCATTTATGAAGTGTTCTTTGGGTAATCTCTATATCAGAACTGATAAGAATCGTTGAAAAGTAACTGATATCTCTGACTAGTTTTAACTATTAATCTTGGCAATTTCTTTAACAAGTACTCGGAAACAATAGAGGCTTCTCTCACGTCTCAAGATTACATCAGACTGACATATTGTATGTGTAACACAATATAGATATGCGAATATTTATTTATTTCACATTTGAATAGTAGCAAATCAGAAAATGATCAAAAAAGCCTTTTTTGAGTCAGAGGAGAAAGAAAAACCCTATATTTTCATCGTAAATTATTTAATATAAGACCTACCGACCTCTATTCGCAGTTAAAATGTCAAAGAAAAGGGATTGAAGTTTATGTACTTTTTACCCGGTAGCGTCACTTATTGCGGCTACATATAAGAAAAACTAAGCCGTATACTATTCAATACATCTTTCATATTGTCTTTTTAATGATGAAATTCATGTTTCCCTATCTTGATTCTATCAAAAATTATTCAAAATACTTCAAAGTTTTATCGTCATATATTATAACAAAACATCTCTTATCGAAATTTGATTATTCTGATGTTATCTCAAGTATGAGAGAAATTTTAGAGCATTTTTTTCACTAACAGCACGTATAAAAAGAAAATCACTTCAACTTTTTCATACAATATTGAAGTGCCTTCGACACTTATATTGGTATGTACTAAGCAAAAAGAAAATACAGGATCTATATTAGAAGTTAACTCAATTAATAGTAAAATTCTGAATGTATTATAAAGATAATTCTTGTATTCATATCAATAGTATTAAATCCTACCTTCCAACTGTTTCCGTTAATAATTCATGTTTAAGATCAACAGTTGTTAAAACTAAATTCGTAACCATTTTAGTCGATATAATCATAATTATCAGCAATACATTCAATCGAATCATTGTTGAATGACTTTTGCTTTTCAATAAAAGTGACCGATATGAAGGCGCGACATATGTTGTATAGTTAATATTGACTTAAGGATCGAAATAACAACGTGAAAGATGCCAATGTCCACACCTACATAGATACACATAAATACACGTACAAAAGAAAATAGTAAATTAATTGGTATTCAAAAGGGTCCGAACGACGAAGAGACACGAATATTTGACATGTCTTAACTTGATTCTTATTGATTGAATGAATTAAAAATAACAAACAAAAACAAGAAGAAAAAAAGAGAAGCAACTATAAATTTTTCTTTTTTTTATTCATTTCAATACATATCTATATATATATATATATACGTATATATGTAGAAAAAAAAAGTAACGCCACACGAAAGACTGAATGGGCTAGAACAAAATAAAAACAAACGAAAGAAACCGGATTTAAAAAGAAGACGAAGAAGAAAAAATAAAAGAAATAATAATGTTTAATCAATTTTTTGTAAATGATGTCGATGTTTTTCAACATCAATAATCCAGTTTCGTATAATTTGTTCTTTTTCGGGTGACATTAAATCATTTTCTTCAATATATTTTTTTACATCTGAATAGGCATATGATATATTTGGATCACGAGATTTATATGATTGTGCTGATGGATGTCTTTCACCTGGTGTATTTGATGTAACAATTGATGTTGTTTGTGCAGTTGATGTTTGACGATATTTTGGTGTAGATACAATTTGTTCTTTCGATGTTGTACCACGTCCAGTAAAACGTCCTATATTATTTCTATCAATATTTGTTTCACTACGATGAAGTTCTTGTGATGAACTAAAATAAGCAAGTTGACCTGTTCCATTAGCTGGAACATTAAATGTATTTGAACGATTTGGTGATAATGGTTTTCGACTAGCTGTTAAATCAAGTGTTGAACCATTTAAACGTTGTGTACTACTAAGTAAATTCATTTGTTGTTGTTGTTGATGATAATAAATATTTTCATCTTGTGCATTTGTTAAATAAAATTCTCCATTATTAACTTCATGAAATGATGTTTTAGAAGTAACATAATTTCGTTGTTTTGATGATGTATTTCGTGTTCGTAGACCATAATCAAGACGTGATGAACGATAACTTTCACTTCGCATTGGTAAACCATAACCTGCTGTACCTGGTGATTTATCTAAATGACTATTTGTACGTTGAAATCTTGTTGTAGGACGAGATTTAGCTGTTGATGATAAAAGTAAATCACCATTATTTATATCATCTCGTAAATTTTGTTGTGGAGTTGATGCTGATGGAATATGAAGCACAGAATTTCCAGTTGTAGCTGCTGTACTTTCATGTAATGTTCCATTAGTTAAATGTCGAGCTGATGTTGTTATTTTATTTTTTATTGGACTACCACCACGTAATGCTTGATTAGAAACATTTGTATTACTTGGATGATCATTCCATGCATAATCATTTGATCTATATATGACTAAAACATAAAAACAACAACAAAAAAAAATAAAATATATTATGTATATATATATATTGTTTTTCTTCATTTTATTTTTCTCTTTAAACCTTTTTTCTCCTCAGGTATGTTATTTTTTTTTTACATAGCATTAGTTACGAGCATGCCTTTTCATTTTAAACAAAGAAAGAGAATAAACATTTTCGAGCATTGATAAATGGGTGTTAAAGAAGAATTGCTGTTGATACTGATATGGTTATATCTAGCTCACTTTTTGCAGGTTCAAATTGTGCTGAAGTACCAGTTTGCACAAATGATGGTGAACGTACAAGAGGTGAAACCGATACAGAAGGCGATGGAACAGCAGCAGCAGCTGCTGCTGCCGCTGTTACATATCTACTCGCTGTTGTTGGTAATAACGAATTACTTCTCAATGGACTTCGTCGTGGTTGATCTATTGTTTGTTGTTGACGTCGAATTTGTTGTTGTTTCGAAGCCGAATGAATTTCTGTTGGGCCATTCGTGCTAACACCACGTAAATCTTCTGATGGAGGCCTCGAATGAGGATTAATCGGTGGAAACATATTATTCATGGAAAGATGAGGTTGAGTTAATTTACTATTTAAAAAGAAAAAAAAAAAACAATGAACAATATACTAGCATATATATATTTTCTTTTTTTGCAATATTAGCAAATAGGAGGTAGTGATGTGACAATTTATTCCTTCCGTCTATCTTTCTTTTTCATTTTTCATTTTATTTTAAGAAACCTTTCAATTTATTTTATCGACCTATTTAATTAGATGTATTATAAAAAAAAGAGGAAGTTTGAATTGAATAATATTCAACAAGGACTATATACTTACAGCATTTTTTCTTAAAATTTTGTTGTATTAATAATAGTAAATTCAATTAATCAATAGTATATATTACGAATAAAATATAAACATGCAAAAGTTCTTCTTATGGTTAATGTATTGACCAACAAAAAAAAAAATTGTAAAGAAAAAAGAAGGAGAGAAAAGAAAAAGAAATCAAACGAAATTTTGAAACAATACTCATTGAAAAGTATTGTATCATTTCTAGTGTCGTTTGCTCTCTTTTCATTATTGAATAATAGCAAAAAAGCAATGACGACGAGAAAAGAACAACGACAAGCCGTCTTGTTCGTCTCATTTATTTTTCTGTCCTTCCATTCTTTTTTTTTTTTTATTTTTCAAAATAATTAAAACGACTCTCGTTCGCTCAGACACCCGCATGCATGCGCTTTCTATAAGATCGTCATTCATTTGCTATTTCTCCTTGCAAAATTCTTTGCGCTTTTATATCTAGACCATGCAAATTATACACAACTACATTTCAATACATTTTTCTTTTGTTATATTCATTAAATGAAAGAGACAACAAGGATTTATTTAGATAGGTATGAATAGGCAAGGTTTTTGGTACAAAGGAATAAATATGAGGATAATATATGACATAGCATACCTTTATGCTTAACTAATAGAGAAGTTTACAGTTTAATATTTAAATTAAAATTTAAATACATACCGAATCGTAGTGCCATAATTCATGAATATATATTGTTGTGTATTAGATAAAAAAGACACTTTAGTGGATTGCTATTCTATGCTGTAGTGTTTGTGTTTGTATGTATAAAGAAGAAACACAAATTTGATTGTTTCGTGTCAATCGTCTTCTACCTACACAAGTCGACATATAATGTGCGAGAGCAAACAAATGATCACACTTGTCTCAATGTTGTTACCTTGATGAATTTATTCGACATGAAACATTGTCGTCGTTACTTCAATATATTTCAGTGATTCCACTAGAATGTATTTATGTAAGAGAACACAAAGCAAAACAAAATAAAATAAATGAAATTAACTGAACTCAAAAGAGAAACAAACATTGTTCGTTTTTTTTTCTTTCTAAATCAAATATATATCATTTTCAAATTTAACTATTGTCCATCAATCAATCTTTGAGTCGATTTAAATAGAGAATATATATATATATATATATTATAATAAAATAGTGTTTTGAGTAGGAACAAAAAAAGTTTTTTTTTTCTGATTAGGATTTTTCAAATTGATTATTATGATTAGAAGATAGAAATTTCAAGTAGCTTTTTTTCTCTCTCTTTTTCTCTTAAAAGAAAACCCAAAAAAATTTTGAATAAGAAATTAATAATGAAGTAAAAACAGCTGATGACAATGAAGAAAGAAAAAGAAAAGAAAATTTCTTATATTATCTTATCATAAAAAAAAAAGAACTCAATTTAGTTTTTTCTTTTCTTTTTTTATTTATAAATCTCCTTTTACATCAACTCAATCACCATGTATTTAAGTGCAGAAGAAAAACAAAGCTTGATATATGCCGATATTTTTAGCACTAATTATTCAAATATAAAAAGTCAAAAACGATATATCAAAAATCAATTAATTTGTTAAGTGAATGATTGTGTTTTTATTTTAAAAAGAATAATAAGAAAAAAAAAATTCTTTTTAGAGTATTTTATAAGTAGAAAAAAAAAATGTTTTCCATCTATTGCAAATCGAAGGAAAATTTGACATGTGTTTTATACATTTTTTTAGAAATAATATTTATCCAAATAGTATTTTTTTAGCATATTAATATTTATCGTACAGACAAGAAAATGTTGAAAGTTGTCGACTGTTATGACAATTTTTAAGGGCAAAAGAAAAAAGTATTATCTAATGCGTTAAATCGGTCATACAATGATTTTATATATTGAATGTTGCGTTGACTTAATATAACACTTCCTGTATGAATGTGAACGATTCTTGTTTTTTTTAAATTGAATTCTCAGGCACAAAAATTTTCCATTTTTGCACTTATTATATATTGTGCTTGGTTATATATAGGATAGGTAAAATCAATGTTTTATCAAAATTAGAATCAACTTTTCTATTTTCTATATCGTATTCGAATCGAGTGTATTGATCTATTTTAAGGTGAATCATTCTCGAACTAAAAACCATATGTATATTATTTTCTTGTAAACCAGTGATTTGAATATATCTTATGTTAGAAATACCTTCTACTATCTTCATTTGTTTATATATAAATTCTGAATGAATAATTTATCTTTTTTTTTTTTGTGAAGGTCAAAAATGAAACCTTAGGTACAGTTGTCGTGAGAAGTCCCGCTACCGAATAAAAAGTATATGAACTTTAATGTTTTTGCTTGATATTTTGAGTACAAATAGAGCTCGATGAATTCTGATTGCAAGCAGTAATCTAAGGTCAATAGGTTTTAATACAAAGGATTTACGATGAAAACGCTGGGTTTTTTCCCAAGGACTCAAAAAAGATGTTTTTTTTGACACTTTTCTGATTTTCCATTATTCAAATTTTTCAACCTATTAACATATAAATGTTTGCACGTCTATATCAGGGCTCCGCGTAGGATGGAATGAACGGAAAATTTTCTGTTCCATGCCACAGGACTTCACACTCATAAAATATGTTATAAAAAAGTTCTGAACACATCTATCATTTCCATTAATAATACCAAATTTTACATCATTTCATTCTCTTTATGAAAGTAAATTGTTGCTAATTTCATCTGAGTTTCATCACCATCTACTGACGAAGATCTTTTTCTTGTACTAAGAGGTAACTTTTGAGTACAATTATGCACATTGAGTACTCGATGCAAATGCATATGACTAAAAACATGATTGACAACTAACAAAGCTTCGAATTGCTTTAAATTCTTTTTTTCTGCGAAATTTCTTGGCTGAGAAACTAGAAATCTGCCAAAAAATCAAAGATAATTTATTTTCTGTGTTTTCAATGATTTATTTAACTCGACGGATCTTTTTCTAATAAGCGGGTAATTCGTTCAGTTATAAATTTATAAACAGCTGATGAAGATTCAACTAAAAAAGATGAGAACAATGTACTGATAGAAGAAGATGAAGCAGTGCCCAAGCTTATTGAATCAAATCAATTAGATTGACATTGAACAACAGACAACGATTTATCTGACGACATACAATCGATTGTAAATAAAAGCAGAATCAAATCATTTATTACTATTAAAAATAGATCGAGCTGCGTTGTTACTTTATATGTTGATTCAGTGTTATTTGTTTTACTATATCCTAATGGCTGCAGTGCTTTACCACTTTCACAGTAGGAAAACAAATTATTTCTTACTTGCTTCACTTGTATAGTCGAGAAAGACATTTATTTTGAAACGATTATGTTGTTCTTAATAAAGTTCTGTAAAACAAGTTTGTTTCATGAGTAACACTAACGTCATGAGATTTGTTTTCCATGTTGAGATATTCTCGTCTGAAGAACAAAATCTATGTGAAATTTCTTGCTCCTTCGTATGAAGATTGAACAAGCTCAATATACTCTATTGCTGATAAAACTATGAGATTAAATGATTCAAGTTTAGGTACTTTTTACTCAGTAGCAGAACTTTTTCGTGTTTACTGTATGGCAGTTGAATCTTGGAAATGAAAACATCAAAAATTCTAATCTTTTTTTGCTCATAGGTTTTGCTCTCACTGTTACTGTTTTGTTTTGTGTAGGTGCGATGCATTACATTCTACTGATTAAAATTTAGAAAAATATGTTCACCTAAAATTGACAAAAATTTCAAATCTTTCGACATTTAGCAACTTTACTAATATGTAGATCATCTTCAGCGAAAATATTTTCGATTCTAAATTATGTTTTGCTAGTTGAAATCGTTCTTATTATCAATAGTTTTGATTCTAATCTGAAACCATCTTATCTCTAGATATAAATACAACAATTAAAGAGACTGGATAATTACCTGTTTTGGTGTCCAGTTGAAAAATTTTTTCACGTACAGCAAAATGAATCAGCTGCAAAGTAGGAAAAAAAAAGCAAAAAAATATAATTGGTGATGAAGCCTTTTTAATTATACTTAATCCTTCATTTGTTAGACTTGTTATTGTGTTTAAGATATATAAAAAATTAGAAAAAAAAGCTGTTAGCACAATCTCTGCGGGATTAAAATATGATGATGTAGCTGTTGTTGCTAATCAAAGCTATTTTCCAACACGTTTCTTCATCATCCTTTTATTTAATCTTCCAGAAATGTAATACGGAAGTATTAACGAGACGTTATTGATATACAGTCTGTGATCATATATCAACGTCTGCCACAGTGTGTAACACAAGGTGGAGGAGCCCAAATTCTTAGACCTTGTTTTACAAAAAGTAAATTACTAATTCAAAAATTTCGCTTTTTCAAATTGAATATTTGATGAATGACTTCTTTTTGGATCAACTTAAAAAAATCTTTAAATTCCAAGATCGTATATACCACTAACAAAATGTCAATCAAATAAAGATTTCGTAAAAAAATCCACATTTGAACACAACACATTCGGTCTTAAAAGTGAATTCAATATTTTTATCGTCATTTCAATATCTATAACCATTCATTTAGAAACTTTTAAAACAGCAAGAATATATTTTTTATTGAAAGAAAAAAAAACAAGAAAAGAATGTAGTCACACCACTCGAGCGTATTATATGTATATATATATTTTAAAGAAAAGAAGACCCGTAGGCTTATAATTGACGGTGTTCGTTTTTTTTTTGGTTTGTATTATGAAATTGTTTAAAAACCTCTATTAATACAATCCGATAGATGTTGAAGATAAGCTTCTTCATCATTGCCAGGAAGTTTTCTATTACAATATGGACATTCATAGTGTTTTGGTTCTGTACTTATAGCAGATGGAAATAAACATTTTTCAATATGATCATATACTTCTTCATCATTTGTTGTTAATAAAAATTCATGATTACAAACAGGACACGTTTTTATTTCTTTTGGAGCACTGGGTATGGATGGAGGATTAGTTGGTATACGTGGTTCTTCCTGTATTAAGTTTTCATTATCATTTTGTTTATCATGTGATTCTTCAATATGTGTATTCTGTGCTTCTTCAACATGAGTATTCTGTGATTCTTCAACATGTGTATTCTGTGATTCTTCAACATGAGTATTCTGTGATTCTTCAATTTTTTGTGTTTGATTAACAATTGGTTGATGTAATGATTGAAAAGTTAGAGTAGCCAATGATTCACTGGGTGAGGCGCCAGGTGAATGATTTTCAAGTGTTGTTTTTGGTGATGAATCATTTATAATTGGTTCTTGTTCTGTATGGTGTCCAGCTAAATGTTGAATTTTTTCTAAAAGAGTACTCATAACATTCTTGCTTGGATTTGGTTTTGTTGGTTTATCAGGTACGGTAGTTTCGGTATCATTAATAGGAACATCTATTGGATTGAGGCTAGTTGAAGTTGCTGCTATAAAAGAAAAATAAGAATTATAAATATTTGAGAATCAATACTTTTACCTGTTTGAGTTATTAAAGTAACAATTTCATTAATTTGATTTCTTTGTGATTGAACAATTTGATGAAGTTTTTTTGCATCATCTTCTATTTCCGTCCATTGATCATAATCATTTATTGATTCTAAAATAAAAATAAAATAAATAAAAATGAAAAACTAAAAAGTTACTTCTTACGTTTTGGATAAAATATTGAATTACTTTGATTATCATCATTAATTAGTGATGATTCATCTTTTGTGAGTAACATTCTATTTAATTGATAAATTTCTGTATGTAATTGCTCAATTTTTTCTTTTTGTTCAATATATCGTTTATCATGTAATGAAGCTATTTCTTTTGTCATATCATCTAATTCATTAAGTTTATTTTCATCATTTGTATAAGCTGGTCGAATAAGATCCATTAAACGTGTTATTAATTGTTTATCACAAAGAATTTGTGTATTTGTTTCTTGTTTAAGATCACGTATATAAAATATTAAAATTTGTTCAACTTGTTTAGCATTATCATATGGACTATGATCAATAAATATATATTCTTGTTTACCATCAGTGTTTTCATCTTTGCATATATTATTATTATTTGTTTCATTATTTGTTGCTTGTCTATTTTCAGATGAATTATTAGCTTGTTTTAAACGTGTTATTATAGGTACATACTCATCATTATGTTCATGTACAATTGAAGGATTTATAATAGTTATGTCGGAATCATCCTAATAAGAAGCAAAAGAAAAAAAAACAAATTTATTTTTATTGAACACAAAAAAGAAATTGAATTTTTATTGTTTTAACATACATCATGTGCACCACCAATGGATGAATTAATAATGGACATTATTAGAAGAAATTTCGATTGTTAATATTATCTAAAAGAATAAAAGGTGAATGAAATACATTGAGAAAAAAACACTTCGTTTTGTATGCCTTATGTATGCTCTCTCATAATAAATAATAATGTATACAGTATGACTCATCTCTTTTTACTATTGGGTAAGAATAAGATTAGTCATGTTCTAGAAAGAAAGGACATAGCCACATAGATTTTTTTTCTTTCTTTCTTCACTTTTCTTTTTTTCCAAGATGAAGGGTTACTAGACATATTGCGTGTATCAAAAGACAAATAATACAAAAACAAAAAAATAAAATAATTGAATACACAATACTTTGACTTGTATAATTAAATATATATATGTTTATTTAATAACAATTACTAATAGTATCGTATAACAAAAACTAAATATTATCTTTATGAATTCATATCTAACATATTAAAACGAAAAAAAAAAAAGAATGAGACGCCCTATTTCATATCTATTCAGTTCCTATATCTTATTTGTTTATTAATAACACACACATACTAGCACAAAAAAAAAAGATAAGTAATGCGCAATGATAAAACAGACACATTGGATGTGAAGACGAAGAAAAAGTGTGAGACAAATTTAGTCAATATTACAAAAAAAAAGCAGTTGTTAAAATAAACATTTACAAACGAAAAAGATGGATGACTTTGATATATTCAACCAAGCATCTGAAGGAGCACAACTATCAGGATCACAACATACAAATATACCAGACGATGATTTATTCGGATCTGAAAATACAAGCAATACAATAAATACAACACCAGTCGATACTTTCAACAATAATCCATCGACCGATACTTTTGATAATAATCCACCAGTCGATACTTTCAATAACAATCCACCAGTCGATATTTTCAATAGCAATCCACCAGTCGATACTTTTAATAACAATCCACCAGTCGATGCTCCCAGTAATAATCCATCGGAAGATTCTTGGGTTCTTGATGATGTATGAAGAAAAAGTTTTTCATCATATTAATAATTCTTTTTCTGTTCAATATTCGTTTAGAATTTCAATAGTACAGCAGCATCTGAATCTACTGTATTCAGTGAGAATACTTTAACTAACTTAGATACAACATCGCAAATAACATCATTCGATGATGATATGTTTACAAATCAATCGAATACAAATGAATTAGATATAATTCCTAATAATGAGCTTCCACCACCATCAACAAATGATGTTCTTCGTAACGATACAACAGCACTCCAATCAGGTTTTTATCTTAAAAAAACAAACTTTTTTTTCTCTTTAAACTTGAGTTTTTTTTTTCTTTTGTTGAAGAAGAAAGATCATCATATGATATGTTTTCAAAGCCTTTACCATCATCAACACCAATTGATAGAAATCTATTTACAACAGGAATATCTTCACAAGAAAATTTATCTGCATTAGAAGCATTTAATAATCGTCGTCAACAAGAAATAGCTGAAAAAGATATGGAAGAAAAACAAAAAATTGAAGCTATACGACAACAAGCTAAACAAGATATTGAACGTTGGTATCAAGAACGAAAACTACATATGGAACGAAATCGATTAACAATTCAAAATGCCGAAGATGATTTACGTACAAAATCATTAGAAAAAAGTGATAAAAATACATGTGATTGGGCTAAAGTAATGCGTTTTCTTGAATTCACTCCAGGTACACAATTATCAAAAGGTAAACGTGATTTAACTCGAATGAAAACTAGTATTCTTAATGCTAAACGTGATAATGCTAAATCAATATCAACAAATGGAGTTTAGAGGAAAAACAATATTCGTTTTTTTTTTTAGTTGATTTTTATTATTAATACAAAAGAACAATTAAAGTTAGTGGTGTTTTCTTTTATCAATCAATAGAGTTTATATATTTGTGTGACTTTGTCTTTCTTTCTTTTTTTCTTAAACGTAATTAAATAAATTAATAAATGATATGTATATGAATGTGTGTTGTCTTTTTTGTTTTTTTTGAATTTGTTTATTAATATTTGGATAATGAATGAAAATATTGAATAGCTTTAACAAATTCTGATCGATTAGCTAAGATTTTAAGTAAATCTGGAAATGATGGACGATCATGTGGTTTATATGTCCAACATCGAAGCATTACTTCATATACAGATGTACTGCAACCAGCTGGGCGTTGAAGACGACCATTAGCCTCAATGAATTGAGTGATCTAAAAGAATTCGAATTTTACTAAGGAAGATAACATTCATAGTAGATTGTCACTTTAAGAATCTTTGGGATTGAGCAAAACTAATCCCTTGGATCCTTTTTTTTTTTTTTTGTTGAGAAATCTTTATGGAATGCCCAATTTTCAGGGAGTATAAATAAAGACAAAAACTATCCCAGGTAATCTCCGAGGAATCTAAGAAGAAGTACATAATTTGTATATTTCGAATTCACTTACAACTTTAAATAAGAACTAATTTAGTAAAATCAATTTCGTACTTTTTTTAAGTAGATTTTTCTTGATGTTAACTTCAATGGTTATTATCAGCTTAAGAAAATGAATTTTATTTTACCCTTTGGTTTCGAACTCGATGAACTCTAGCCGTCAAAGAAATGTCTAAGACACGCTAGTCACTGAGTATAAAATAAACTGAACAAACGTATCTCGTATTTTCGTAGGGTTGACAGCATCAAAGTACGATTTAAGTGGGTTCGGGTTGAAAAATTTTGGACTCGAACTCTACCGAGTTCTAAGTTGAAATAAATGCGACCGGCATGAAGACAATATACAAACCTCTTCAGTAGCCATTGATCCATACGGATATTGACCGAATGTGTAGATTTCCCACATCGTCACACCAAATGACCAAACATCACTTTTACTTGTAAATTTAAAATGAAAAAGTGATTCTGGTGCATACCTTAAATTATAAAAATATCTTTTTGTATTTCAAAAAAAAAAAATAGATTTTGAACTATTTTAATAATTATTTCATTAGAAATTTCAATATTTAGAAAAAAGAAACTAAGAACAAATTGAACTTTTGATTTCGTCTATAGAGATGATTATTTTTTCTTACCATGCAATTGGTATTGGTGTATCGCTGTGTTGAACATAATAATCATTTGAATCCACACTACGTGATAAACCAAAATCAGATATTTTTATCTAAAAATTAATTAAATATTTCAATTTTACTAAAAAAAAAACAGTGAATCTGTTATATTTATTTTTCTTCTAATTACTCGTGAATGAGATTGCATTAAAATATTTCTTGCAGCAAGATCTCGATGAACAAAACGCTTTCGTTCCATATAAGCCATTCCATGTATTAGTTGTATTACCCAAAAACTAAATAATGAACGTGTTGCATTTTCTACATGTCTTTTTAAATAATCCAATAATGATCCCATGGATAAAAGTTCTTGAACCTAATAAATATTAAATAAATAAATAAATAAAGTATAAAAAATAAGCAAACTATGAAGAAAATACACAAAAGCTTAAATTTTATTGTTAGTGCGAAGAATGTTAGTTTGCTTGAACCAATAACCGAAGAGTGGGCAGGTTTTTTTTGCTTTTGATGTAGATGTAATAATAAATCTGAACGAAAATATGAAGCTTTTAATTGAGCCATTCAATATGAGAATATATTTGTAGAGCAAATCATTTATACCATCAATGTACTGTTCATTTTTCTTGATTGACATATACCATAAAGACGAACGATACATGGATGTGATAATTCTTTCATAACAAAAGCTTCTTTTTTCATTTCTTCTCGAACTGATCCATCCATTGTTGCTTTTAATGCTTTAATAGCAACAGGTACCTAAGTAATAATAATAACAAAAAAAAACTCTATCGATTAATTTTTTTTTTCGCAATATAATAAACTTACAGTTCGACCATGTTCTTCTCGATATTCTCCAGCAAAAACTTTTCCAAAATTACCTTCACCTAATAGTTTACCAAATGTTATTTGTTCTTCACGAATAATAACCACTCTTTTATTTACAAGTGGATCAACAAGTCTTTTCTCTAACGAAAAATAAAATAAACATATATATATGAAATCATGAAATTTTCTTGACAAATTACCAATTGTTGAAAGCATTTTTTGTTTATTATGTACATTTTGTGAACGTCCTTTATTAAATGGATGAGCGTCTATTGAGAAAAAGAAGACAAATTTATAGAATTATTCAATAGATCTAAAGCTAAAAACTGACCGGAAGTTCCCGTAACATCGGAATTAGATGAATCATGTAGAAATTGATTAGATGATTTAAAACTTCTATTACTTGATGATAAAAATAATCGTTGAGATGTTGAAGGTGAAATTTCAACTGCATAAGCTACTTTTGCTGTTTCTGTATAAAAAACAAAACATTTTTCCAAATTTTTTTTTTTTTGTTTTCGAAAATCTTTATACCTGGACTCAATGGTTTAACAACACCTTTATATGCTTTCATAAAATAATCAATAGCATGTTCAAGACTATCATGATAATGAAGAGGATTTTCAAAATAGTATGAATTAGAATTCTAATTTAATTAAAGAAAAATCTTTGTTTGTTTTTTTTTTTCGTTTTTGTTTAAAATTTAGTTAGTAATACTTTTTTATGAATTTTATCATGAACAAGTCGATTTTGCCAAATAATTGATATCGCATAATCATCTTGAACAGATGCACTTTGTCGAACAAAAAAAAAGCCATCATGTTTTTTAAAATAATTTAATAAAGCTCGCATTTGCTAAAATAAACATTGGTTGTTTTTTAATAGTCAAATTTACTCAATTTTGAGTTTAATGACATTTTTCTTATTTGTCAAGAACAAGTTTGCATTCGAATCAATAGATATCATTATACGAAGTTGTTTCTTTTTCTTTTTTTGTCTTTAGAGACTTTGTCTTTATCCGAATTAGATATAGCTCAAAATGATACTAACAAATGGAGTAAGACGAATGATTTCGATGTTTAAAACTATTAACAAGAGCTAATTGTTGCTAATAAAACCTTTAAAAGCCGTTCAGGTACTTTAATTTTTTTTAAACACAATCTAAAAGGAATATTGAATTATAAAGGAAAATTTTCGCCACATCTCCATAAATTTCACAGACATAGTATCGATCTGATAAAAAAATAAAGAATATTAATATAATAGACGAATATAAGATGTATATTATCTTTTAAACGAAACTAAATACTAAGTACATAGAATAGTGACTCGTTTCGGTTTGTGTAAAGCTATAGAAAAATAGTGTTTTAAATCACGTTTTACATTTTAATCTTGCAGAGATTATGTCAATAGTTTTTTTTTTATGCAGCAAGACACACATGTCACAGTGATATAGGATTGCATTTGAAAAAATTTGGAATTTCGAACGCTTGTTGGCAATATCTTATATGAACACTAAGTTTAAATAGTTGCTCTTGTGAAAACTATCGATACCAACAATTTATGTGATACAAATCACACAGTTGACATATTGCGGTTCCCTCTCATAGCACAAGAGGAGTAAGCGAACAGGTCAAAGATCATTGGACACATTTCACTAGTAATCGAGGACAACAAGTGTTGAACACTCATTTTTCAGAGTTTCTTAGCAATGGAACAAAGCGCTGAACGACAGTAATAATGAGACTTAGACATCAGTTAAAAGAACAAATTTCTGTTCGAAATGCAGAATAAATAGATATTCTGAGATGACCTGCTCCGTTCTCTCCATATCTACAAAATCACTGAAGTAGTGTAGCTTCCAAAAGATTCCTGCTCATGTTTGTATTTATTTGTTCAAGATAGCGTAGATTTCTTTTGTCACCAGAACTCCATGTTCGAAAAGAATTATATTTCAGCTTTCGATCTGAAACTTTGTGTACATGAAGGTTTCGATTAAACGATCTTATACGTAATGTTTCATAAGTTTTCGATATTATATTGTCAAGATAGGAATTTTTCAATGTATTCCTATCTTACGCGACACTATAGTGTCCTGCACGAGTACAACATTTGTTAGCTATTTCCGGTATCCGATGAATCTAATCGACATTTGACAGATAGTTTCACAGATACAAAAAATCATTTTCAAACTTTTATTGTATATAAGAAAAAGTATAATTTAATTTCTTCCATAAACAGCAACAAAAACCAATGAGATCATCTTTCATTGCACAAAAAAGCAGGTGACTCAGGATTAATTTGGTGATTTTTTTGCTTTCAAAGTTCAATCGATTTCACTGAGTGTACATTCTTTTGTTTCTGTTTATGCTGGAATAAAACACGGTGTTGGTGCTAAACATCATTACTGTGGATATATATATATATTCATGCTTTTTCCATCACGATAGTAAATGTTCACTTTTATGATAATTCGTTTTCTTCAACATAATATTCAGTTACTTCATCATATTATTCATTACCATCTGTAGATACATTATCATTAAAAAACGAATTCTTTTAGTAAAATAATATCGTTTTCCACTTTTGTAATTTGTTCTCAAATATGATAAACTGCTCAGTCATGATCGAACCGGTTTTCACTTCTATGCTTTTATATAAATTCGCAGTTTGAAAAAGTAAAAAGTTTTTAAAAAATCGAGGTCTCATTAATTGTCATGTCGGATTTGAGTACAAGCTCCTATTCGATACCTGAGTCGACCAGACATGTTTTGCATCCGCACTCGGTTGCAAGACTCTACACGACACTTAAAGAAAACCGTAAATATATGGAAAAACCCTTTTCTTAACAATAGAATATTCAAAAATCAATGAAACATCATACATGATATAGTCTATCAGTGAAAGCTGGAATCTTTTAACAGCTATATTACTGTAGTGATCTCCTACATATGTAGGTAAGTAGAGCAGATCACCGAGGATTGTTCTCGATTAAACGTATTTTATATTAGTATCATGAGGTTAAAGAACACATATGAATTCCACAATTAAATCCCAATAAGGTTTCGCTGACAAAATGTTTTTATACAATAGAAAAAAAAAAGTAATTTTACATACATTATTCGTCAATGAACCATGATAGTAACTTGAACGACGAGAGACAGCAGGTTTTGATCGAGCTGCCGCTGTAATTAGAAAACTTCTATATTAACTGTTTAAAAAAGAATCAATCAAATTCACATAGTTTATCAGCACATTCATTTCCATTATGTTTTACAGCTAAGTCATATGGTGTTTCTCCAGCATCTGTCAATGGTCGTAATGGTGAATCATGCGCAATTAAAGTCTACATAAGAAAACATAATAGTTATTAAATACACCTTAACGATTGAATTACTGTTATAGTCTCAAGATTATTACATGCAGCAGCACAATGAATTGGCGCATATAAATTAAATGGATTTCGTACATCGATATCTGCATGAGCACGACTAAGAAGTAAATCAACAATATTTGGACTGTTTCCTAAAGCGGCTTGCTAAAGAAAAAAGAAATTTTTCATAAATGAGCAATAAAAAAAGCCAAAAAAAGAAATTTATTTACATGTAAAGATGTCCATCCAAGTCTATTTACAAATTTCCAATTGGCACCAGCTTGTAATAATATTTTAACAGCATCATCTCGTCCAAAAAAACATGCTTCATGTAATGGTGTATTTCCTTTTCAAGAAAAGAAAATTAAAATTTTTCTAAATAAAATTCTTTTTTTTTCTTTTTTTTCATTTAAACCTTCTTCATTTTTTGAATGAATATCAGGACAATTTTGATCATTAAGAATTGATTGAATAACATCTCGTTGACCTTTAGTAGCTGCTTGATGAAGAACAGTTGTTGTACCACGTCGTTGTGCAAATGATGGTAATGAATGACCACGTAAAGGAATTGTTAATGAACAACGCAAATGACGCACACCATCTGCTTGATAATATTCAAGTAATTCATCCAATGCTGAATATAAAACAAAAAGAAAAAGTTCATTTTCATAATTAAATTAAATAAATTTACAATAAAAAACTGAATCAGTTTTTTCATCAAGAAATGTTCCATTTCCCATATGATGTGCACGATAATGAAAACATTGTCCATCTTTAATTAATGATAAAATAAATTTGCTTTCATCTCGTTGTGTT